GGAAGGGGAACAGACAAGTTGCTGTCCTTTTGTTCTTCAGTCTAGTTGTGGAGGACGTTGCTTCACTGGCCCAAGTTGGGACCATCATTGTGCTCTTCCTGGGCGAGGCAGATCAGTCGCTGGCTTCTGGATGGCCGCTCAGTGCGGCTGCTGGCTACACACCGTAGCCCATGGCAACCCACTGCAGCAGGGGCTGCAGCCTACGCAGTCCTGGCGACTCACGGCAGCCCAGCTCCAAGTTGAGCTGTTGTTCAGCATCTTAGCTGTGGAGGGCAGTGTCACTGGCCCTCATATGTGGGATTCGAACTGGGGCCCTCTGGCGTCCCAAGCCAGTTCTTAACCATCACACCACTCGGCTGGCCCGTGGATTTTATTCTTAAGGCAGTAGGAGTCTTCTGAAGGATTTTAAACCAGAGAGAGATGAAAGTTTTCAGATTTTCATTTTTAAATGGTGACTGAAGACAGTGTGCTGAGAGGATTAGAAAAAGGGCAAGATTAGATAGTGGCTTTTGAAATGATCCAGTCTTAAGGATGATGAAAGCCTAAAATGAGGAGGTATTGGCGGGAGGAGTGTAGAGAAGCGTTTGGATTTAGAAGATATTTAGGAAGTAGAAGAAACAGGAATTGGTGACTGGGTAACCATATTGATAATAATGCCCTTCACATGAAGAAAGGAAATACAGGTAGGGGAGATAATGAACTGTTCTTTTTTTTTTTTAACCTATTGACTTAAAACCCATTAAAATCAAAGGAGATATACATATGAAGAGTAATGATTTAGGAATTTCTTGTTTGTTTAGTAATAATATCAGGTGAACTTAATGAACTGTTTCGTTTTTTCTCAGTATATCTGTAATGCCCAGCAAAGTTCCTGACATATGATCAATAAATGTTGAATTTAGCCCACCTACCCTAAAAATTAAGAATAAGGAATGTTAGATATGACACAAAATATACTTCAGCTTTCACATTAAAGCTATTTCAGAGGAAGTGAAAGGAGAAAGAAAGATGAGGAGAAAAAAAGAAACTGAAGGCCTGAGAGAGAATGAAACAACTTAAGAATAGAGTGATGACAAGAATCTCGTACTTGTTTAGTTGTTGCTTCTGCTTTTTTGGCTTAATGTGAATTGATTGCTTTCTTCTTGTGTTTTCTGGAGTTCCAATCTTTGAGAGACAGATTGTATGTATGTATGTATGTATGTATGTATGTATGTATGTATCAGCGTAGAGCGTAGTTAAGATTTGGACTCTGGAATCAGACTGCCCAAATTTTTTTTTTTTTTTTTTAGCTGAGCCATCCTGCTACCTGTTGGCAGCTCAGCGGCTGCTCAGCTCGGGCTGGACTCGAACCGCTGTTGCTCAGAGCTCAAACTCTTGAGCGAGCTCTTAACCAATTGAGCCACTCGGCTGGCCCCAGACTGCCCAAATTTAAATCGTGTTTCTGCTACTAACTAGCTGAGTGACCTTGGACCTAAGCTCTCTGTGCTGTAGTTCCTCATTCATAAAGTGATAATAATAGTAGAAGCTTCTCTTATTGCACAGATTAAATAAATTAATATATACAAAGTCCTTATAACAACGTAAGTTGCCCAACACATTGTAATCATTCAGTATAGTGAACATGAACTTGAATTAAATCATCAGGTGTAGGATGCAGACAATTGCTATAAATGATTTCTCCTGAATCAAACTAATAGCTGACTCTAGATGGATTAAAAAAAACATATATGGAGGTTTTGTTACTTGGTTTTTACCAAAATGGAATCATATATAATTTCTTTGCAATTTGCTTTTTCCACTTGTCAGTATATCATGATCTCTGCAACTTAGTATATATACATCAAAACTTATCTTTTTATTTGTTTTATGCACATGCAGTTTATATATAAAGGACATTTTTCAAAGTGCAGGGGTTTTTTTTTTGCTTGCTGCTCCCTTCCTCCTTCAATATACTTGTGTTAGCACGTTCCATATCACATAAAAATGTATGCACACATATGTGGGGTTTAATGGGATATTTGCTTTACAAAAATAGGATTGTATTATATACATTTCTCTGCATTTTACATTTGTCATTCAACAATATCTTGTAAAAAAATCCCTTTAAGTCTTGGTATAGCTGTAATTCATTCTTTAAAAAAAAAAATCTTTATTGAGGTATAATTTACATACCATAAAATTCATCTGCTTTAAATTTATAGTCCAATGAGTTTTTGTAAATTTATACAGTTGTGAAACCATAGCCATAATTCAGTTTAGAAAATCACAACACCCCAAAAAGTTTCTTTTGCAGTCAGTCCCACTCCCATCCCCTTGCAGCATCACATCTATCTTCTATCTTTATAGTTTTGCCTTTTCCAGAAATTTCATATAAATGGAATCTTGCAGTGTTTAGCTTTATTGTCTGGCTTCTTTCACTTAGCCGTTTTTGAGGTTCAAACATATTGTAGCATGTATTAATAGTTCTTTTGTTTTTATTGCTGAGTAGTATTCCATTGTTTGGCTATATACCACATTTTGTTTATCCATTTATTGATTAACATACGACAGATGGCTTTTAAACCCTTTCTTCAAATAAAATCTTTCACTTGCTCTTTTCAAGACCGATGATAATAAAACTGCTTTGATTCCCATGGTAGATGGGAGTTCAAAATTCTACCTATTTCACCCTTGAGGTACATCCTTAGAACCCTAGGAATATTGTTGGAAAACACCAATCTGGAGCTAACTCTAGAAATTTCCTACCCTTGGTTAAGAAAATATGTGTATAAATGCTATATCCAGATGAAATAAAATGAAGAAAACCTTGCAGTGATAGGGGATACTTTTTTTTCAAAAACTGGATTGTGTGATAGATGATATATATTTCCCAAGGGAATGATGATATTCCCCTTGTGTACAATTTGGCTTTTCTGCAAGGAATTTGGGGGAATGGGTTATGGTTTTATGCCCACTCTGAGGAGTGTTGTCTATTTTAGCAGACTTTTATTTTTACCTTCCTAGTTTTACACACACACACACACACACACACACACACACAGAAACACACATGGTCAGTTAAGATTGCAAACTTCCCACTGTGTTAAGTGCATATATATATTTTGTTTGTTTTGTTTTTCAATCAGGCAATTATTATAGTTTGCGTTCTCAGCATGAGAAAGCAGCCTTATATTTCCAGAGAGCCTTGAAATTGAATCCTCGGTATCTTGGAGCCTGGACGCTCATGGGACATGAGTACATGGAAATGAAGAACACATCTGCTGCTATTCAGGCTTATAGGTGAGTTTCTAGTTGGAGGGTGAGGTTGAGCAGGTGGCTGTGATGTTAGGAGCCTTTATTAAACCTACACGTCGCTAACCTTGGTTCTGCCCTCTTACCAGTCTCTCTTCCATTTCTTAGACATGCCATTGAGGTCAATAAGCGCGACTACAGAGCCTGGTATGGCCTTGGGCAGACCTATGAAATCCTGAAGATGCCATTTTATTGCCTTTATTATTACAGACGGGCCCACCAGCTTCGGTAAGTCTGGTCACTTCATAGTATGTTTGTTGTGGGAAGGGCTGATACTTTTCTTTCTCTTTTGACGGCTACTAAGTGACTAACTAGCAGATAGTATACACTGTGTGGAAACGCTGGACAGAGGTGTGATTCATGATTCGTGTCCTGGACAGATTTCATCACACTACTCAGAATGGTGTGTAATTTAAAACTTAGGAATTGTTTATTTCTGGAATTTTTCATGTACTATTTTTGGATTACGGTTGACTGTGGTAACTACAACTGGAAAGTGAAGCTGCGGACAAGAGGGGACGACTGTAGTGGTGGCGGTGGGTCCTCTCGAGAGGACCTTTGTTCTCTATAAAGTCTTTGCTCAGACTGCTTGTTTCTATTCTCTCTTTCAGGCCCAATGATTCTCGTATGCTGGTTGCTTTAGGAGAATGTTATGAAAAACTCAATCAGCTAGTGGAAGCCAAAAAGGTAACTGAAATTGGGTCCTGGAGAATTTGAGTGGAAATCTGTTTGGGTGAGGATTGGGCTATATCTGTGCTCTAACTTTCCTTCATTCTAGTATATTTACACAGGGAAATCTGAATATTTTGAGGTGCATAGGCTAAAAAACAAAGTGGGAGTGAAATCATCAGTGGGAATGTCAGTATGTAGCCTGGACCTATCAGATTTAGTAAAAATGCCTTGCGTCTTGCAGATATGAAATTCTGGGAGGCTTGTAGGACCTGAGCCTTTATGTGATTAATCGTGGCACTTGGGACAATGGTCAAAGAGTGAGAGTGACCAGTTAATTTTTTTGACAGTGTTATTGGAGAGCTTATGCCGTGGGAGATGTGGAGAAAATGGCTCTGGTGAAACTGGCAAAGTGAGTGAAAGGAGTGAAATGCTACTGATATTTCTCTTGGCTTCTCTGGTATGGTAGGTCCTACATGCTCTAAAGCAGCGGTTCTCAACCTGTGGGTCGTGACCCCTTTGGGGGTCGAACGACCCTTTTACAGGGGTTGCCTAAGACAATCGGAAAACAAAAAGATATTTACATTACAATTCATAACAGTAGCAAAATTACAGTGATAGAGTAGCAACGAAAATAATTTTATGGTTGGGGGTCACCACAACATGAGGAACTGTATTAAGGGGTCGCGGCATTAGAAAGGTTGAGAACCGTTGCTCTAGAGAATGCCTCTTCTCTTTGAAGAGGGGATTGCTTTCCTATTAGGCAAGGGGCCAAGAATGAATTGAAAGAAATGAAATGAAATTTTCATGTCAGAGCAGTCTAGGAAAACTACTTTAAGTATTGATCTTCTCCTAATAAGGACCAGGAAAATAAAGAATAACTCAGAAATAGTAGGCAAAGAAGTTCTTAAATGTAATTTCATTCCTGCCACTTCTTTTCTGGATTCTTAGGAAAAAAATCTAAATTGCTTGGTATGTTTTTAATCTCACTTAGTATTACCAGAGAGTTTTTGCAAAGGTGTGTCATCCTTACGTATTTACCGACTCTCCCTCCATCACCAGTAACAGAGTAATTATTCTAAGCTTTGATAAAATAACCATCACATCTGGGCACTAGTACTATTCTGGATCCCAGTGTGCCATTTATGTCAAAATTTGTGCTTGTCTGTGTGTCTTTTTTTGGTCTTAATTGTGTGCTTTTACTTTTTATCACTAGCTTGCTTTGAGTTCTTATTTGTACTTAAAGACCAATTTCTTTTGTAGGCTTCATGAACAGTTGACTGAGTCAGAACAGGCTGCCCAATGTTACATCAAATATATCCAAGATATCTATTCCTGTGGGGTATGTGTCATGAGCATGAGAACTGGGTTGCCTATCTTATTCTTACCACCTCAGTCATTCCTGCTTTCCCTATCTAGGAAATAGTGGAACACTTGGAGGAGAGCACTGCTTTCCGCTATCTGGCCCAGTACTATTTTAAATGCAAGCTGTGGGATGAAGCTTCTACTTGTGCCCAAAAGTGTTGTGCATTCAATGATGTGAGTATCAATTCTTTAATAGAGGGTTTGGAGTTTAGGCTCGAAATACGATCTTTGCCATGATCTGAGGGTGGGAAGTGGATAAGAAGGTAAGTGGAACTCACATATCAGTATTTTAGAACCTGTCTTTAGACCAGCCTTGACCATATTTTGAAACAGTTGCCTGACTTTGTTTCAGACCCGGGAAGAAGGTAAGGCCTTGCTCCGGCAAATCCTGCAGCTTCGGAACCAAGGCGAGATTCCTTCTACCGAGATGCCTGCTCCCTTTTTCCTCCCTGCTTCATTGTCTGCTAACAACACTCCCACACGCAGAGTCTCTCCACTCAACCTGTCTTCAGTCACACCATAGTGACTGCTTTCAAGCTAGCACATTGCCAGAGCCTTACCTCCATATAAAAAATGGCCATGTCCTTCCAAGACCCCTAGCCTTTTGTTTGTACAGATGGAAACAGCTCCTTGGGGAGTTTATAGACAGAAGAATCCTGGCAGGAACAGACATTATCTTTTGCCAGTTAGAAGCACTTCTGTCTTTCTTCTGTTCAGAGTGGCTACAGATTTTGGACTTCTTCCCGGACGCCCAACCCGCTGCACAACATCCCTTTAATAGCACTTTAGCACAGGCAAGGCTACAGGAACAAAGTTTTAATGCTGCTGGGAGTGGAAGATTTCTTTAGCGAGGTGAGCAAGGGAGAAAAGTCTGCCACTGTACCCTCAGTTGACAGGAAGGGCACTGGATACCCTAGGAAGGTCAGGGCACTGGATAGACATGATCTTGTCCTTGGATTTGCTGAGTGTAACTCCTCTGTCAGAGGTTGGGTTTAAATGGAGTGAAGCTATACATTCGTTCTTACTCTAGGGAGACATTCTTCCAAAATAAGGTTTTGAAAAGTCTCTTGGAAGCTTTCAAATTGGAAGTAACTTACTAGAGTTGGATAAAAAAATGGGGCAAAAGAATCTCACTGAGCATGAAACTTAAGGCCCCTACTGAGGGCATAAGATGTCTACCGAGTTATCTATACCTCTACTAAAGCAAAGCAAGGAGACAGCATTACAGATCATTTCATGGACATTTGGGAATATCTTTGGTGACTGTACAGATAAGAATAAACTCACTTCAAGCTGGTCTGTTTTGAAGCAATTGTTTTATTCCTGTCTCCCAACATAATTTTTTTTTCAGCCTTTATCTGATTAGACAAGGTAAAGGGTATCATTCTTGGATGTGCTCTTGGAGGGTTTCAGGCCTGTGCATGTTTATTCAGTAGGAGGTAATGTTATGACTATACTATGTCTGCTGTAATGAATTTGTACAGTAGATACTATGGATTAGTCTGAGCTCCAGGCCCAGCCTCTCCTTGTTCTTGTTTCCAGAACAAGTTACCCATTCACTTCATTTTATATTAAGGAAGGTTTAGAATATTTAACGTCCCTTGAATTCATTTCTTTCCAAGCTTTCTTAGGTTGCAGTACACTAGTTACTGCTCTGTATTGCCATTCCTGTGCAAGGGTCCCATGGGCCTAAATGATGTTTGGTTTTCAACTTTTCTGCCCTTTTACATTTGTTTTAATGATTTTGCTAAATTTGGAATTCAAATAAAAATGTGAACAGTATCTTTATTTAATATAACTTTTGTGTGCATAGAAACCATATAAGTAAAAAAGTGTGATTACATAGGTGATTATATTACAAAGGGGGATGGGTGGGTGGGGACAACTAGTGTCTGAATATTGCATTCTGGATAGAGTTCCAGGTATATGGTGAAGCTTAAAAGAGACCTATTTCTTAAGCTGAGCAGCTGACCCACCTCAGGGCAATGACTGCTCTCTCCTTCCCCACAGCCTTAGTATTTTTTGCCAAAAGGCCCAGATTTGAGCAAAGGGGAGCGCCGTGAGCGCAGGAGCCGAGCATAAGGGCTGCAGTCTGTTGAGCTTTGGCAGGTGGGTGTTCGGGGAAGTAAGTTTCGAAGAAACGGTTTTTTTCCTGGAGGCTGTTGGTTTGGTTGCTGGTTTTCCTGGTTGGCACCAAGGCGCTTTTTGGTAGTAGTCTGGCCTTGGAGTTTTAGCACGGTATGATACTGCTCCGCGATGCATGCTGCCTTCTTCCGAAGGTCCAGTTTTACTAGCATCATGTTATTCTGCAGCTCAGCCAGGGTCTGATCCTAAGGAAGATAAATAAGGTTATAGAAAACATCTATGTCTGCTATATTAGAGACATAAGAAGGCAGGGTAATACATGACATCCACTACTAGTTACAACTGTTTTTATAAAGATTAAATCTAAGGTCAGAGGTTATAATTGAATAAGGAGTATTTTCTTTTAAGACCCAAACAGCATTGGATAAAAGGACATTTTCTAAAACAAGGTGATATGAGCTTCAGTTACTAGGTATCAAAATTAAGTGCTGTATTTAGTCTAAGATGTATTTTTTTTTAACATCTTAATATCTCTAGAATCAGGATGTATTTACTGATGATAAATGTCATAGCTTAATTGTTAGTGTCTTAGTGGTACGTAAAATAATTGTTTCTTACAATCTAAGCATCTTGGATGAAATGTGATACTATCTACCTTCTTAGGATTGTTGTAACAGAGAAAATGTCTATAAATTAGCATAGTGACTAGTTATTTTTATTTTGCAAGGACGAGAAATTCCCCTCACTATAAGATTATCCTAAAATTCTTTACCTTTCTCTTCTGTTCCTCATTGCCCTTCCCACATAAACTCTGGAGTGGGCTGATGGGAGAGAGGGAGATATACAAACTGCCTTAACCTGTTTGATTAAGATGTCATCACAAGTGGTCAAAGCCTGGCGAAGTTTTCCTGCCCCAGTGCTGTGGCAACAGGCTCTTTCTGCTGACTGGAGATACTGGCCAAGTTTCTGAAGCTCTGTCCGTAGCAGCCTTATATTCTGAAAAGAGGAGGAGGAGTAACCAAGCTGGCCAGGATCAACCAGCATCATGATCTGGAGGAGTCAGCCAGCCAGTCATAGAGAAGTAAAACTAGAGGCTAGGCACCAAGTGAGGTTACCGCTCTCCAGGACCGTGCATATAAAACATCTTAGCCTCATACAAACCAGGGAGACAGTGTTGGAAAATGGCCTTAGGTACGAGCTTTGGTAAGAGAGAAAGGTGATTTACCTTCTGGCCCTCCTCTAACTTCTTGTCCACATCAGTGGTGAAGGGCTTAGCAGAGGGTGGTGGTTCTAACATTTTCTGATACTTCTGCAGCTCTGAGGGAAGGAAAGAAGAAACTTCAATATGTACGCTTTCTAACCTTGGACTTAGCGCTTTAACTGAACTAATAGTTTAACTGAACTAATAGTTTGCAGCAAATATAAAAAATGAGGCCACGTGCATCCTAGAGTGAAAGGTCAGGGGGAATGTAGCTCAGAGCTAAGGAAGTTATATTGGAATTGGTGTCAAAAGGCCCAAGTTTGGAGAACAGTTCTTACTGAGCCACTGTTAATGCTTCCTCACCCTCAGTGGTGGAGTTTAGCTCTGCTCTGCACTGTTCCAGTTTAGTTTTAACCTCCTGGAGCTGCTGGGTGGAGGCAGTAGCTGCCAATCTTTGTGACCGCCGTAGGGACAATTCAGACCCTAATTGTTGATGGGCCATTGGCTGTTGCTTGGCTTCCTGAATGAGAGCTTCTAGCTCTTGGATCTTCTCATCCCGCTCCTAAGAGGAAAGCAGAGGGCATCCAGAGTCAGACAAATACTGCAGGAGCAGATGACTGAAAAATGGAACAAAAACCTTCCCTGATGCGCCGCGAAAGCCTGTTTGTTAGCACTTATTATACCATTTCCTGGCGAACCGGACTCTTAATCAATTCACCAAACATAGACTGACACAAACAGAGCACTAAGGGTACTAGAGAAAAGGGAGTTTCATATTCCTGCCCCTACCAGTTTATAAAATCTGTTTACCTCAGGAAGCAGGAGACCAAGGAGCCAGCTGGGGCTGGTTCAGGGCAACTCACCTGAAGCTCTTCTTGGTAAAAACTTGTCAGTGACTCCTTGAGGATCTTTAGTTTCTCTTCATACATTTCTTCTAATAGTTCCTTTTGGGTGTCCAAATGTTCACTGTCAGAAAGAGGAGAAAAGAGAGTAAAGATTCTGAGACTGAGCTTGGAGGACGGATCTGGTGGCACAACTCCATCCGAGTTTCTACTTCCCACCGTCTGGTCCAGGTGACAGACTAGAGGGGTCACTCAGCTGATACCTGCACCACTGTTCACGTTGCTGCATCTGTTCCACCATCTCATTGCAAATTTCATCACGGAGCTGCATTTCCAGCTGCAGTTTTTCCTGCCGTTCTTTCAAAAGCAGTGCTTTCATGGCTTCCACTACCTGAAGGAGCTCCTAGGAGGGACGCACAGGTCAGAGGTCATCAGATGGCCCCCAAAAAGCACAGCCCATCTGGAGAGCAGCATGGAAAATGTAGCCATCAAGCTGCTACACCAAAGCTTTCTTGCACTCACCTCCTTGCCATACATAGAGATGTCAACTTCATTTTCAATGTCGTCATCAAGGCCTAGGTCTGCCTTAGTTCCTATGTCTGAGCTGGGAGATGCCTGCAGACTGTGTTCCTTGATTAATGAATGTAGCGATGGGAATCCCATTTGCACCGCTGGAACATGCACAAGCTAGCAGGAGAAAAAAATCTTAACTGAATCCATAACTAGCCCCTACTAGCTTTCTTAAATAAAGGTACCAGTCCAAAATAAGTACAACCATCACACCTATACTACAGCTTCTTACCTGGCTGGCAATGGCTGAGAACTTGGCCACATGAAGGGTCTCATCATAGGTTGATGCACAGGGATTCACGTTGACAATCATGCAGGAGCGGCCTCGTCCTGTGAAGAAGCCTTGGAACACTCGGGTCAGCTTGCTGTCACGGAAGGGAACTAGGTTCGGCTTTGACCTGGCAGGGAATCAGAGAGAATGGAGCTGTGAGCAGAACTCCGGCCCTTGGGTCTCCCAGCATCATCCCTAGCGACCAGGAAGTTTTTTAGTAAATTGCAGCACTCCAGGCCATCCCAGCCCGCGGCTTTCAGTCAAGCTCACCGGTTCTGCTGGTTTTGGCGCAAGGCAGCAATACAGCGGCCCAGGGTGTGCAGAGAAGTGTTAATGTTTCCTGCTTCTTTCAGCCGCTCACCACTCTTCTGGTCTTTGCAGCGCTCTGAGCCAGCCAGATCACAGAGTGATAACCTTAAATGACAGACAGGATCTGACGTAAGGCCCCCACATGTTACGAGCCTGCCAGCCCTTCACATAGTTCTGGGGAGCGAGGAGCCACCAAGAATCTCTCTCCCAAGGAAGGGGAGCAAAAATCTAACGGAAGTGATTCCTGAGGACCTCCGTCACTCCCTCCCCCTACTACCATTTATGGCCAAGAAGCCCAAAATTTGAAATGGAAAAACTTACTCACTGATCTTGGGGATTAAATCCCCTTCCCCTTGAAGGTGCAGGATCCGAATGGAGAAGATGCTGTGACTAGAAGTTGATGTGAAAAAGAGAAAAGTCATTACATATCTTCCATGCCTAGGCAGAGGACTAATATTTCCTGGAATGCAGTGAAGGGTTGACTGTCACAACCTACTCACCTACGGCTAGAGTTCTGGTTCAGGTGGGTGCTGGCAAAGCTCTGGTTTTTACGACCCACTTTCAGGAGTTTCCAGGCCTCCTCAGCATTCTGAACATGAATCCAATTGAGATCTGAGGCCACGGAGAGAAGAGCATACATAAGATGGGAACACCCAACTTTTCCTAGTCTCTCCCCAAATCCCTTCCAGGGTTCATGGCCAGCCTCCCTGCTTTCCCATACCTTTCACATACGGATTGCCATTCTGATCTTCACATAGTCGCAGAGTCTGCCTCTTGCGCTGCTGGCTAGGTGGTTCTAACAGGTCATAAAGCAGTTCATTGTAGATTTCAAAGAAGGAAATCCAGATGGAGAAGCGAATGTCCCCAGGGACACTTACGGGGGCAGTGTCTGGCTGTGCCCATCGGTGACTTGTTTCTGGGTAAGAAGCAAATGCACAGGGTAGCACCCCTAGAGTAGTCCATCTCCCCTTTGGCATGCAGGGCTCTCGGCCGGCAGAGCTCAGGTTGCAACCTCTGATCTGTACCCCTGGCAGCTGTTGGGAGCAGGGAGTGGGTTTCTACTGTTACTTGGCATAGAACCCAGTCATACGTACCATCTAGCTGGCTACTGCTGGTAAACTGACTGGTGGAGGAGAGCCCAGCAATGCCACTATCAAAGCTGGTGCTGGTACCCATCCGACTTTCAATGTAGACACTCCTCTTCAAGGAAGTAGACAGCTCCTCCTAGAGGGGCCCGGGGAGAAAATAAGTACAAAACTTTCCCGAGACTTGTCCTCCATCCCTCCTCTGTGGACACTAACGCTTTACCTCTTGAAGGCTTCCATTTAGTAGGGCCAGTTTCTTTATTTCCTCTTGCCGGATCTGCTTGCTGTCAAGCCAGATTACCTCATTGGAGAGCAAGGGCTTCAGGTCAGGTATTGGGTGAAGTTGGCCTTGGAGACTATTGAAGATCAGAGCCAGGGACCGGGGCAGGATCCCTCCATCCTTGATGGTACCTGGAAGCATGTGAAAGAAGAATAGCTGAGGCAAGTGCCTTTCTCCCTCAACTGACAGCATCAAAAGGCAAAGACAATACTATTACAGGTCAATCAGCAATCCTGTGGGGCCTGTTACTCACCTTGAATAGTGTGGGTTTTCCCTGAGTTGGTGACTCCGTATGTGTAGATAAGCCAGCTCTGCCCTTTGAGTACGTCTTTTACCATCTCCTTTACAGTCATGTTGAAGAAGGATGATTGTCCCACTTCTGGCCCAAAGATCTAGAGACAGACCCAATTTCTCAGAGGCCCATCCTTCATCTCCCACTTGCCTCCTGTGCAGAGCTAGCAGATGCATCTCTTTCTGGGTGGTTGGCTCTGAACAATACTCAAGCAGCTTTGTCCTGCAGTGCTGCCAGCTGCTCCCTAAGCACTGAGGACTCGACCAGTCCATCTTTCATCTAAATTAACAAATACTTAAGAAATGCTATCAACTAAGTCCAGTGCTGCATGCACAATGGGGCAACATAATAGTCACATGCATGGGCTTTGAAGATGGATGGATCTAGATTCAAGCCTTTACCACTGACTAGGTACATGGCTTCAGCAACATTTCCTTCACTGAGCCACAGTACCCTTGTCAGGAAAACAGGGACAATGATGAAAATGAGAATAGAGCTGTTGTGACTTAATGCACATAAAGTACTTGTCACACTGACTAGCTTATAACAAGGATCCCCCAATTTATAGACATGCACATATAAGGAGCTCACAATCAAATAAAAAGCTATCCCTCTAAAGGGAATAAAGCTGCCTCTATATGTTGGTCCCTTGTTCACAGATAAGTACCTCCATACCTGGGAGAAGGTGAACCTGTGGGTGGCTTGGCCAATTCCCCGCTCGTTGCTCTTCTGGGCAAAGGAGTCTTTGGGCGCCTGTAGAACAAGGGTCTCCACATTCTCAATATGGATACAACCCTGAGATGGGGGAAAAAACAGTTGACACAGAAGGATATGTTCCTGGAAACGAGTACTGCATCATTCTACCTTGAATCCATCCTCCCTCCTCAGAAACTCACCTGATTCTCTTGCCGTTCCAGCTCTGAAGGTAACAAGGGCCTGACCCTCAGGTATACTTTCACCTTTTCCGTACTATCCTCAGATGGAACCTATGGCAGAATTCCAGGCCAGAACTATAGATTAATCTCAGCAATTACCTCTGAGCAGATGGGCAAGCATAGCACAGTTCCTGGGACTCATGCTAACATCACCCTCAAATGTCTCGCTGCAGCTACTCTTTGGTCCCATAATCATTCCAACTCACACGGACTTCTTCGCTACTTTATCACCTTCCCTGTCTCTTTAGTATCCTGTAAACCTGGCTTGCCACATCAATTATCTGAGTTAGAACTGGTTGACTGGAATGAAAATCAGCATATGATATTCCAGTAGAGCACAGTAGTTAAGCACCATGGAGGCAGAAACACCTGAATTTGAGTCCAAAGCCTATTATTTAGTAACTGAGACCTTGAACAGGTGCTTTGAATTCCTTGTTTCACTTTTCTCATCTATAGATGGGGTTAATAATAGTACCACCTCATTCTTTCAACAGATACTTAGAGATCTGCCTACTATGGCCCAGGAACTCTAAGAGGCTCTGGTAGTCCACAGTGAGGGACATTATCAAGGCTCCTGCTCTTATGAAACTTTCTCTATAAAAGAGGAGACATCTGAGTAGAGCTGTTTTCAACCAAGGCCATTTCCCTCCCAAAGAATATTTAGCAATGTTAGGGCAGGTTTCTTGGTTGTCATGAGAGGGAAGGTGCTCTAACATTTAGTGGGTCGAGGCCAGGAATGCTGCCAAACATCTAACAATGCACAGGACAGACCCCTATAACAAAGAATGATTTGGTCCCAAATGTGAATAATGAGAAACCCCAGTCCAGCAGAAAGGCTTCATAAATGGAAGCTACAGTTGATATTAAAGCCCGAACATACATTCCACCTACTTAGTGGTGGTATGATCTTGTGTCTGGGCCTCATGGTGAAGGAGAGATAACTATTATCCTTCTCTCATAGGATTAACTGATAGTATGCGCTTGAGGGTATTTCATTAATGCAATGCAAACAGTTCTCGATTCAAATAGACAATGCAAATAGACACGATTCTACATTTTTTTACTTGTCATGCTCTTAATTTTGAATTGATCTCTTAGATTCTTTGCTAGTGACCTTATATTACTTTCTGTATGGACAACTAAGTAGGCTGAGGATATCACTTTCTGCCCCCAAGCTACTCCAACTCTTTTACCTGCTGCTTGTCCTCCAGGGAGGTGGAGATGACAGAGCAGTCTGACAGCAGGTCCTTGCGTACCACAGACCCCAAATCTGCAGCTGTAGACTCAAACATGGGGGAGACTACGACTTCCTCATCCGACAGCAAGCCGGCTGGCGGAGAAAGGATCCCTTGCGACATGTCAGCAGGGGCCGCTTAGGTCTAAAAAGAGACAAGAGTGGGTTAGGGAGGAGATCCTTAAGGGGCAGAGAAGCTGCAAATTCTAGGTGAGAAACAATTCCCTTGCCGTAGAACACTTTGGTTTCGCTGCCTGAATTCCTACTTCCTTTCCCTTCAACTACCAGCAGAGGGGAAGGGGATAAGAGGAGTTTATCATTTAATCCAGTCTGAGGCGGCCTCTAACAGGAATGAACAGATACCCGGCTCCAAAAGCAGAAGGTCATGCTCCAAGTAGGGTGCCTCGCCTACCAGTGTTGTGGAGGTGGTGTCAGTAACCCTAGGCTCCTCCCGCCTCGCCCCAGGCCCACAGTGAGGACAGAGGTATTAAGAAAAAAAAGGGATGGCGGCAGCGCGGCTTTCTGAAAGCCTATTCAGCAAGGGCAAGAGTTAGTACCCCAGCTGGGCTCCAGCACAGCCGCACACTCACCCGAAGACGCGACACTTATTCCTCCTCTGGTGCCGGCCCACTCACACGCCGACACAGAACTCGGACTTCGGCGGTAGGAGAGCACAACTCACCCCCACGAAATGCACCCTTGTTACTGATACAATGTTTTAAATTACGCGCTGCGTTCGTTCCGCCAACCAGACAGCGAAGCCTGCAGCTACCAATCAGCGCAAGGAAAGGGGGCGGGGGAGACTGGGAGAAGCTCTGTTCCGGTTTGACTTCTCAACTCAAAAGTGGATCCGGGTTACCAACTGTCGGAGTTTCGAGTTGGGCCACTTAGAATTCCCGCTTAACACTTTTTCTTGAACCATAAGCATTTCTTTTCTAAGAACCCTAAAGGAAGTCCTGAGACTTCAGCCTCCATCTTCTGTCCTTCTTTAGCACGTTCCTTCCTAGGAGCGCAAAAGAGAACTGGTTTAGGGCGCTAGTTCGTCTTGGGGTGGAGGGTGGGAACTACATTTCCCAGAAGCAGCGCGAGCAAACGCCCGGACTCTATTTCCCAGAGTCCCCCGGGTTTCCGCCTTACCAGGCTATCTTTCCTCGAGGGTTGGAGATTTCGGGGCCAAGATGGCGACAGGAACGGGCAGTAAGTATCTGCGCTGTTTTTGTGTGGAAGGCTTTTCTACAGAGGAGCCGAGACCCGGCACTAAGTTTCTGTCACACGCTTAGGGAGTAGGAGCAATGATTTACCTGAGCGCCTGGGGTCTTCAGCGACCTGCGTTAGTCGGCGTTGTGAAAGCTAATGTTTGGGGGGTCCAGAATTGCACGGTCTTGTGTCTCAGAGAGACCTCGGAGATTTGAGAGAAGCAGCTCAGCGAATCCTTGTGCCCGGGAGCTGTGTGGGGTGAGCGATAAAGGTGCTCTAGTAGACTCGGGTGTGCCGACGAAGACGTGTTGTGAGCCGTAGGAGCGGCCCACATCTCCGAGAGCTATGCATATTCTGACCAACGTTTGTGAGGCCCGTACCTTGTCTGTCAGAGAAATGGGATATTTTAACCATGGGCCTTTCCTGCCACTGGGGAAATTGCGTTTCTTGGATCTCAGCCATTTTCTTCGGTTTCATGGATTGAAAATGGCTTTTAGGCCCGACAACTAAAAGGGAGTGGGTAGTGGGTTACTGAAAGCAGTAAACAAGTTTATGCTAAGATGGAGGCGGGACAGGAGGAGAGTGGCCGCTGAGCATCATGGGAAAAAAAGCCCCGCGTTCTCGTTGGGATAAGGTACGCATTCATAAAACTGGGCCGTTCGGGAGTGCTGCTTTATCTTAATCAGACATTCTCAAAATTTTTTAAAAATAAAGCTGAGTAGTCATGAACAAACAAAATATTTCGCCAGATGCTCGGAGTGCAGTTTGCACACAATGACTAGGTACCACCCCAGTGGTGGTATTTTACTAGCGAGGTGAAAAATCAAGATTTGGTGACAGTAGTTCACTTTGTTCTTACAAGTTGGAGTGTTTTGTAGTAGGCGTTTAGGTCTCCCTTTGGGGCTTAGAATTAGTATCTCAGTGGTTGCCTGTAAGCTCTCTCTCCTTTCAGAACACAAGCTGCTGAGTACTGGCCCTACAGAACCATGGTCCATCCGAGAGAAGTTGTGTTTAGCATCTTCAGTCATGAGGAGTGGAGATCAAAATTGGTAAGATATCTAGGATGTCTAGTTTCTTGGGTCTTTGAAACTTGGGTATTTTTTTACACAAGTGGATGCCCATAGTTAATCATATTAACCTTTAGGCAGTATTTCTTTCTTTCTTTTTTTTTTTAATTGGGGAATTGGGGGAAGGGGAACAGACAAGTTGCTGTCCTTTTTTTTTTTCAGCATCTTAGCTGTAGAGGGCAGTGTCACTGGCCCTCATATGTGGGATCCGAACCGGGGCCCTCTGGCGTCCCAAGCCAGCTCGTAACCAACACGCCACTCGGCCAGCCCAGTATTTCTTTTTTTAACAGCTTTATTGAGATAGAATTCACTTACCGTAAGATTAACCCAGTAGATTCACAGAACTTAGTATATTCATGGAGTTGTGCAACCACCGGTTAGTCTATATCACCTATTCACCTCACCTAACCACTCGTCTATTTTCTGTTTCTAGATTGCCTATTCTGGACATTTCATATAAATTAAATCATAATAATTTGTGACTGGTTTCTTTCACTTAGCATTATACTTTCAAGATTCATATTGTAACATGTACAGTAAATCCCTGACTTTTGAACGAGTTCCATTCTGGGAGAACATTTGTAAGTCGGATTCATTCGTAAGACTGACAAAGTGAGTCTCATACACCTTTGACACAAATATATAATGTAAAGCGTAAAAAAACTAAACACACAAAAATACTGTAAAGCTATTTTTACTTTTACAGTTACCTTAAAATGGTGGTACAGTATAGTACAACAACTGGCATGTAGGGGGTTGCATGGAGTGAACTGACAAGAAGAGAGTTACTAACTGGAG